CTTTCCACGCTGCACCTCCCTCCCTCTATCTTCCCCTCTCTCTTCTTTACCGATCCTTCTTATTTTTCTTCTTCTTTTTCTTTACCCCTTGCAGGATACTTTTTCCAACCCGATAGCCTCCGTTTTTGGCCACGAAACCCACCACGAAACCCGCCACGGTATTTTCTCCACCGACTTTCCCCCTTTGCACAAATACGCGCGCGCGGACCGCAACAGGCACGCGCCTCCTGCCTTTCCTCGCAATTTTACCGATTAAACGCTTATCTTTCTGACGGAGACGTATATCGCGTGTCGCCTCGTCTCGCTGTCCTCTTCGTTCTTCGTACTGGACCACGTTCACCGTGGCGCTCGGACGAATTGGCGTTCCGACGAACGCGACACTGCGCTTACGCTCGTAAATAAAGCGCGAGTTCGTACGCATTTGTTGGGAAATTTGAAGAAACGTACACGGGATTCGCGTAAAACGCGGAGATTCGCATAAAATATGTAAAACGTAGAGAATAGAGGGGAAGAGTATTCGCGATGGGCGAAGCGAGTCTTTGCGAGGCTCCCACTTTCTCATTTGCGTTTATGAAAACACGAATTTGCATACGAAATGCGTGGTCTACTCGGAAAAATCTACATATACATGTTTCATTGGATCGACGTATCGAGTTCGTGCGAGAGTCGGTTCGTCCAAATATGTATCCGATGTACGTAACCATAGCATCGAACGATTCTGATTCGATTCGAACGAGGCGCGACGTCCTCGATTTAGATTGAAACATTTGGCGGCGACGCCGGTCGTTAAGTTCGCGAATCATCGTGACCAATTACTTCGACCCACGGCGAGATTCTTCCTTTGTTCGTACGTAGTCGTGTGCAGAGAGCGGATCAATAACGTTCCCGCGAAAGGATCTAGAAGCAGAAGGATGCTCCTTCGGAAATTACCGAGAGACAGTATCTAGCACAACAGACACGAAGACGCCAGCGAAACTCCCACACCTTTCCGGCTCGTCGCCCGATCTGGGACGGTCGCGTAATATTTTGAGTAACGCAATTTCTACGAAAGCTTTCGTTCAATTCCTGTAATTACGGAACGGCGAACTGCGTGATATTCAAAGACGAGACGAACGAGAACATTCTCTCCTCTTTCGCAGACTGTGTTTTTTTTTTCTTTTTTTTTGCTTCCCTAACGAGGCTGCGCGCAAATAACGCGTCTCCTCGAGCTCCCTCAACATTTCCCGAGGAGATGTAAAAATACTTTACCTCTTCGTGTTTCTACGTGTACAAATCGCAGAATGTGCGATTCATCGTTGGTTCGACGGTTTTTTAATACGAAATTAGAATCGCGCGCGGAAATTCTATTTCTTCGAATGCAACACACACGCTACGATATGGCACGTACGTGGTGCAAGAGAGAGAGAGAGAGAGAGCAAAACTCCGTGCGGATCCACTTCGGGAAATGTACATTTAAAGACAATAAAAAGAGTGCAGTTCGGAACGCGAGTATTGCCGCAGCTCTCTGAAACGGAATGACTATGTTTTCTTTTTTAAATTCGACCGAAGGACTTGGTTTTTTTTAAAGTTAGAAAAGATTGGTTCGCTGGATGACGTGGAAAACAATTTGTGAAAAAATTGCAGCTGGTCGGAATCGCGAAGAAAATAATGCAAGCATACTTTTTATAACCGTTTCTTTATCCGATTCTACGATGAAAGTTTAAAAAGTGCACTTTGTACATTTATGTCAGTCATATACAGGCTGAAAATCTCGTTGAAATCGGTTGTTGCACGAGCAAGCAACAGGCATCGAAAAACGAACAAAACTGAAGATTTATCACAGCTATAAACCAAAAACCGTAGAAAACTGGCATTTTCCTCACTTTTAACGAATCGTAGTTCGTGGCAACGTTAACCGGTTCGCTAAATCTGCGGTAATTAAATACTTCGTTATTTGAATACGCTCGCGCCTCTCGATTTTACCAAAGCGTAAAATATCGAAAGTCTCGAGCGATTCTAATTCAACGAAGAGACTGTAACAACGCGATAAACATATCACGGTTTGCTTCTTTTCCTCTGTCAGCACCGTTTGTTGTTACAACGTCGCCGATAACGTCACAAATAGCTTTCGCCTATCGTAGAAATATATCCACACACGTTGCGCGCCAAGTCTGTAGGGAAGATATTCGGATCTTTACGGCGCGCCAAACTCCTGTTCGAAAAGCAGCCTGCGGGAACTTGACGATACATTTTATCGACGACCACTTTTTCCCCGATCCACTTAAACACGGAATCTCCTATATTTTGCCAGCTACAAGGAAGTCGATAACATCACGCAAAGGTGAAGGTGCTGAATTAACTAGCTAGGTTAAGGACGAGATTTCAGCTTCTCGAAAGCGGGTCGCGGCAATTTCACCGTGAACCACTAAACCAGTTATTTCTTGAATTTTTTACGCGATAAACGCGTTCATTTGTACCTCGCGACGCGGTCAGTTTCGTCACGACATCGTTTATTAACACGACGAACTTTCGCTCCGCCTCGAGAGAAAGATTGCTGGAATTTCTATTAACTTTTTAATCGAACAGAACATGTTAACTGGCCATTCGGATTGCTAATTTCGTCGAGATAATATTTTCTCTATTTGGGTTTCTTTCGTCTCGTCGCATCTCGCGTCGCTTCGTTTCTTTCGTAAATAAATTACGCCGTATTTACGCTGGAAGGCTAAAAAGTCGAGAACACGAAAAAGTCACATTTTCTATTTCTTTTTTTTTTTTTTTAATTCGGAACATTTCAACGGCCAAACAATTTCATGCTATCAGAAAATTGTCTACGTCTTTTAAAAAGTATTGAAACCTCGTGGTAATACAAAAACGTTCCTCCTATTGACAATTGTACGTTTATTATAAAGTTTCATCGATTTATCGAGCATTTTTGAAAAGAATTACAAGTTTGAACCTATGCAAGAAGTTCTTCTCGCCTTCCACTATGTCATATTAAAATATAATAAAATGAGAAATAAAATTGAAGTATAAAATAAGATCAAAATCAGACAGACAACGAAGATTTACATATTAAATTTTCTTCTTACGATCTGCATTTATAAGAACTATGACTCGAGCCATTAAGACTCAACTTTCTGTTAACGCGGCATTTCATTTTCAAATTTCCAAATCTTCGAATCTTCGAATCTTCGAATTTTCAAACTCTCGAACTTTCGAACTTTCGATCTCACGAATTTCCAAATTTTCAGACCTTCGCATTTCTTGCCGTGCGCTAATATCGTGTTCCACATATTTCTCTGTCTCTTCTTAATGGGTTCAAGGAAATCGATTTGTCTTTATTACCTTTTAATTCGATGAAATATAGGAGCCTTTGCTTAAGGGATGACCCAGTTAACAGATCAACACGTTCGCAGTGCATAACTCTACGACAACCACGGACCTATTCATTGACTTTTCGCATCATCAAGGCGTTCGTTCGAGGCGTAACTTCCTTCCATGACTTCCGCTACTTATCTACGAGCTGCCTGGTTTCCTAGCGGAAACGACGAAACGGACAATTTTCACACCAACGGGCGATCACCGTCGTCGTCGCCGATCAATTCCATCGACACGCGCAATATCATAAAAATGGTCGTCGAATCAAATCCACCGTCGATCGATTTTGTCCTGTGATACGAAACTGACCCGACCACAGGTGTAGCTTCTTGTGTAACTTGCCCGTCTTATTGCCCGGTCTAGGCCGGTCTGGCCAGAAACTTTCACATCGAGTTTGGAAAGTAAGGAACGAGCCGATAGAAAAGAAGCGTAACTTGAAATACGGTTTTTCTAACTTTCTTACGCTTCTCGCGTCACGTACGATTAACTGGCTACTGAGATTAGTTACGAAGCTATTCGTCGAGTAATCGCGCCTTTATCCCTGCTAATTAAGTTACTGCAACTGTTCTATTACACTTTATAATTGTAAATTCGTTAAAAATTGCTATGGCAGGCTCCTAGACGTTTCCATTTGAATCGATGCTCTGTAGGATGAATTAAAAATCACGTTCATAGCTCGAGCAGACGGAGGAACGTTTGATCCATTTTACAATTAATCCTGCTGCGCTCCTCGAATTTTTATCTTTCATTTTACTTCGAACGTCTTAGGGAAGAAAGAATGGTCGGAGATGTTTGCAGAAAGAATAATTTCGCGTGAAACTGCAATTGATCGACCGTCAACGTCTGCAGATTTCACGGCTCCCAATTTCGTTTTTACGAGCTTTCCCGGAAGGAACAATGTATGCGAATAAGCCTCGAACGATCCCACAACTGTGGCACAAGTTCCTGCAGAAATTAGAGCGATACAGCCGATAAATTAACTGCCGTAATGAAACACCTCGTGGAAAGAGCTCGCCTTTATGAAACGGAAAATGAACGACGTCTAAGAGATGTGGTGTTTCGTACATAGCGTCGATGAATCGTAAAGAAAAATAATAAAATAAAGAAGAACCCTGGTAGTGTAATAACACCTGCAAAAATCGCTGTAAAACACTTACTAATCGAATATGCAAAATATCAAAATTCAACTTTCCAAGCAACCTCAACACGATTCTATATGAAAAGGAAGAAATGAAACGACTGTTGCAGTTTCTAAAAAACGCGCACCTTTCCCAATTAATTTAGCCGCACTCGCTACAACTGACACGTGTTACAAGTATGACAATTATTATGCAAATATATAAGTTACATATGAGTTACAAGTATATAAATGTAAAAACTAATACAATTTAAATATTCTACATATTTATGACCAAACTGTATGACGTACTACTACGATATAATATATTGTAATATAATATTATTCTATAAATCTCTGAAACACAATTGTACGCGAACTAGTAATTGCCAATAATCCTCAGAGGCGAATGAGACCCCAAATAGATAAATAAAAAAAGAAACTGAGTAAAAGATATTAACAATAGAAGAAGTTGTTAGCTATTTAAACACGTTCGCGACTCGTGAGACACCCTATAGAAGCTTACCTTAACGTGAGATATGTGGCTGGTCGCAATGGACGAGGCAGGCTGTTGCTATTCGTTGTGCAGGTTTTTACTTCAACTCTCACGGACTCTCATCTTCCTGCTTACCACTTCTCGTTCGCTTTCGCGAGCAAAGGATCCTTTCGGTGGCTCGTGTATCACTTTAACGTCCACCGCTGGCAACTGTCATCTAGAATAAATGTAAAACGTCGAGGTGTAACATCTTTAAGAAACTTCGCTGCTTGCAGGTTTAACAAGTCTTCACCGAGCGTAGATTAATTGCTCGCACGATATAACGTCATTCTCGTTAATCGAGTATAACAGCTACTTATATACAAGAATAGGGAAAAATAATAATTACAGGGTGGAAGTTGGTCGTTTTCGATTTGCTGATTTTAGAAACTTTTGTGTCAACGAAGACACTTGCTTGTTATCTTGTTCCTTTAGGCGATGTATTTTAACTACGAGATTACGAACAAATCAAATTGCAATGGTTTTATTCCTTAGAATCACCGTAGTACAGTGTATATGTCATAACACCATTGAATTTACTTTTCAAAGTCAATATAATAAAATTGACGTTTACAAATGTCAAACTTTAGACAAATATTTTGTTACTCGATGAACTTGTTATTCTTGGGTTTCTTAATTTTTTAATTAGAAGCCGAAAAAAGATTTTTCAAACATATAGAGATAACATAATATACAATATTAGCTTGTTCCAAAAATTTCTTTCGCTTTATAAGGAAATAATAGATGCACGACATATTTTATTTTATATTATGTTTTACAAAATGGATCATACATAATTCATAAAATAATATAAAACAAAAAACACCGTGCATCTATTATCTCCGTGTAAAACAATAGAAACTTTTGGAACAACCTAATATAATATAATATAATATAATGTATGTATACAGTGTGGGGTAGATAAATTCACAAGCTTGAATCAAAAATTCATCAACTTGAAATTTGCAGATGCAAAAAGGTGCAGACTTTAGGCTGCAAAGTATTGTGAGATGAGTTTATTAAGAGTAGAAAAGACATCAACCCTATATTTTTTTCTTTTTGATTGGATGATAAATTTTCCGATATTCGGACAGGTGTTATCAAATCTAACGATTTTTATCTAAAGCATCGCTTTTTTACTTTACACGGTTAAGCAGAAAATACCTTACGCAAGGGGAGCTCCATGAAAGTGTCGGAAAATATCAAAAGAAACGTATTCTGTTTTGAAAATTATTTTATTGGATGTTGAAAAAGCTTGCTTCCAAACGCGTATTTATTCCTGTGGTAATAGTTGCGCGAACATTCGATAACGTTGCTGTAGTTATGGATTTACACGCAGCGTGAATTCTTCTTTTCATATCGTCCTTCGTAGTTGGTGCCGTTGCGGGCGTCTTTTCCTTTACGTAACCCCATAAAAAAGAATCAATTTGTGGTAGACCAGGTGACTTACATGGAAAATAATTTCCAGAGCAGAATACATTCCTTCTGATATCTTTCGACACGTTCATGGGGTTGGCTCGCGTAAAGTATTTCCCGCTACAACTCCTCGGCTAAGCAAAATGAAAAAGAATGCCTAGCTAAAACCTTGTTAGCTTTGATAACGTCTGTTCGAACATCAAAAAATTAATATGCCATTCTATTCAGGAAAATATGGGATTAGCATGCTTTGCACCCTTAAGAAACACCCCTACGATATCTTACACCCTAAAATTCTAAGCCCTCTGTAGCATTTAACACCGGAAAATTTCTAGTTGATATCAGCAATGGCTTTGGAGAGAATACGGAGCCCGTATAACACTTTATCTGCCCCACCCTGTATACAGGGCGTTCCACATCTCGATTGGCAAGCGTTGCCAACATGTTTCGAAGGCCATTTCGAGCAAAAATTGTTGCATGCACCATAGGTCGATTCTTGTTCGTTTTCGAGATATGGAAAGAACAGTATACCACCACAAATAGTCAGATACACTCAAGTTACTCGGCTTTTAACGTTAATCGTTTATTTCATTATTCTCTTTCACTTATTTTTATTTATGTTTGTTTTGATTTATTTACACAAATTGCTCAAAATGATCATGGATACACACTCATGGTGTATGTAATAATTTTTGCTGTTACTCTGCCCCCGAACATGTTGGCGAAGTTTGCCAGTTCTGGAACGTCCTGTATATCAAACGGTAAAATATATTATCGCTATGCCTTTAAGGTCCTTTAGATCGATAGGCTGGCGAGTTCACAAGAAACGTAGTAGATGTAGCTGCTAATTATTACTATTTCGTGGTTAATCTTTGCGGAGATATACATGCTATTCCTATGAGCTGATTCTTACGAGCAACGCGGTATAGAATTGCTTTCGGTTTCGGAATATCGCGACGCTAAGTCGCGCCAGCTTTCTCGGAATTGCCACTGACCAGCCATCAGGGTGTTGCCAGCAACGTTAGTAACAATCAACGTTCAACCTTGGCCCCGTGGCCCGATTCGTGTACACTGCGTGCTAAACCATTCTAACTAACCATTTGTTACGTCTTCCTGACCAGAAGATTATGAACAATAAGACGATTGCTTCTTTAATTTCTCCAATTTAACTGTTCGAAATGGTTGCATCCTTTCGAGAAATACGGAAAGCAGGTTGAAAAAAACGGCCTTCTTTGTTTCACAGAAGGCTGGAATAATCCTCTTTAGGGAGAGTTGCAAGTTTGTCGAATAATTACTCCGTTGGACAACCTATTTCCCTCGGCTAACTCGGGTCAAACAAAAACAGGACGGCTTTCAGTCCTTTTCGAAGTTGGGTCGGGCTGCATTCAAAAAGCCTGACAAAAAAATTTGTCAAAGTTTTTTCATTATTCTAAATCTCTCGGAAGTCAGCGTGAGAAGGACTTTCGTTCCTGGCTGCCGAACTTTCTCGGCGTGTTGTTGAGAAGCTCGAATCGTTTGAAGGATTTAACGCGAATTCAGTGGAAATGAAGGTTCGATCGAGTCAGTTAGTCCATAGCAGAGATATCGATGTTGTTCGAGTTAAATTTCAACTTTGTGGTAGAAGATTAATATTTACACGGTACCTTAGACATCTGTTTTCTCCGAACTTTCTTGAGAGATGAATCTTAAAATAACCGAATACTCCGTAATCTTCTTTCTCTTGTTGAGAACCGAGTCAGTACACAGCTAGTTCTCATAAAATGATAAGATCTACGCAAAGCTTAAACTCCACAAAGGTGTTTTCATACCTTCAAGGTAAATACGAATTTCATAAAAAGTAATGTAACTATTCGACCAGAGAACGTGTACTCGAGACAGCGGCTACAAAAGGTATTTGCACGTCATTGTATCTATTGTAGCATTTACGACCTGATTAATTAGGTCAACGTGTAATATATTAAAGCTCGTATTATTTGATACCGCTCTTATACAGCTACAAAATTTGGTACCATGAAAACGAAATGTAGAACACGATGAAAAGACTGAAAACTAAAAGAACGATACTTTTTGTAGCCATATACATGTGCATACGTTCGCCACTGATCTATAGGCCCTTTCTTTTTCAAGGAAGCTCGTCAATTATTTACCAAAGTCCAGCGACAACGTGGTGGATTCTTTATCGCGTGAATCGAAAAAGCGACGTTAAAAGCGCTTGTTCGCATCGGCGAATAATAATTTATTTATTGGCCAGTTTGAACGGATGGACGTATAAAACGCGTACTCGACACGACGACGGCGACAGCATCGGTGTTGGACTCGGCGTCGACGTCGACGTGTCACAAGCACGTGAATATTAAACGATGGACAACAGAGTCACGGAACATCGTGGTGTATTAACGTCGGCCTAACGTGTTCGCGTAGGAAATATCGCGTGTACCAGGACCATATGCGTTGATGTCGTTAAAGGACTGGGAACTCGGATCACTGGCTGATCTATGCTCGACCTCCATCCCTAAAAATTCCTGTTCTTCGCAAATTCAGTTTGATATATATATATATATATATATATATATATATATATATATATATATATATATATATATATATATATATAATATTCAATCCGTATTCTCATCTTGGTACAGCGAATGACGAAAGTGTACGAACGCTAGGCTATAGAAAACTTTCACGTATGTGTTATTTACGTCGTATGTGAAACATCTTGAAATTTCACGAATTTTATAACGAGATACAGCTCTCGTGATCGAGTGTCGCGAAAGTTTGAAATCAGTTTGCAATCCGTTTGAAAATGTACATAGTAGTTAGGAGACGTTCATTGGAAACGTATTAACCGGTTTTATGCGCGTATATTATATACGTAGAGGGTGGAGCGGACGAAGTGTCGAAGCTGTTTCCGGCGAAGCCATCGACTTGAAATCTTCGGACGCTTGAACGGTACGGACGGGCTAACATTTCAGGACGATAAGACAATGTAGTGGTGAGTTCCTTAATCAAGCGTCCTCATGTTCGGACAGGTGTTATCGAACTTGACGACTTCTACCTGAGGCATTGGCTTTTTTTTTATTTTCCACAGTTAAAAAGTTACAGCGGGAAATATTTTGCGTACAAAGCGTTGAAAGATATCAAAGGAAATGTATTCTGCTTTGAAAATTATTTTAATGGATGTTTAAAGACTCGTCCATTCGCTTTCACGCACACGTATTTATTCTTGCGACAGTATTAGGTCGTCTGAAAAGTTTCTTTCGTTTTATAAGGAAATAGTGGATGCACAACATTTTTCGTTTTATATTATTTTATCGAATTGATCCAGTTTGTTCCATCGAGATAAAGATTACAACGTTCGACGAATTAGGTTTCATGTTTGTATAAAGATGCGTCGTTGTAAAAGACGTGCCTGTAAAAGAAAGACACTTTTCGGACAAGCTAATAGCTTCGCCGGCTATATTTGATAACATTGATGATATTACGAATTTACATGTGGCGTGAGTTGCTCCTTTCATATTCTATTTCGTAGTTGGCGCCGTTGCAATCACCGCAAATACTTTTTGTAGCCACCGCGATTCTGCAGTGCCATGAATACTTTTTGTTGTATATGACGTCGTATATGACGCACATACCGTACATGTAAACATTTCTATAAGCGTACGAATAAGTGCTTTCGCGAGCCATGTACATCTCGAGGAAAGTATTATCTCTTTTTCTGCGAGATTCTACCGTTTCCCTTGGCGTTAGTCGCGTGTA